TGGTTGGGAAAATCCAGTGATATGCTCAACAATGACACGATTTCTGAGCTGAAAACACTGGTTCTTGACTTACCAGAGCTGAATGCAGATGTGAATGCTTTCTTCCTTGCCAGGCTAGAGAGCAAAAAATCCACTCATACGGCCGAGAAAAAAGAAGGCACAAGCAAACCAAAACGGTCAACAGTGGTGCCAAAAGTGAGGAAAAACCAGCAAGTTGTGAGCAAGACCATACAAACTGTCAAGTCTAAGCAAGAGGCAAAGAATTCAGAGGAGGCTGACTTCAAAATATTGGATTTAAGTGCACGTATCAAGAGCCAAAACAGGAAACTCAAGTGCAACACAGAGCCGAAGCCAATGGACACAGCTGATAGCCAAAACGGTAGTGACAGATCCATGTGGAGATCCACCTGGGGAGAGACAGTTAATCTCTTTTCCCTAGTGTCCCAGGGACAGGTGCTCAAAGATGATGACAAAGATAACTATTTGCCGGACAAATTCTTCGGAACCCACCACATCCTAAACAGTGGCAGTCCTTTATCAATAGGTCACAAATTTTACTCATTCTTCATCAATAAGATGTGTGCTTCCATTTTCCTGAAAGTATCAAGGAAACAGCAGTTGAACAGCAAAGCAGTTGACAAGTTGTTGAAGTGTGTCACTGATTTTGATGGTCTGCTTTCTGCTCTGAAAATACAAGAAGACTTTGTAACCTTCATTGTTGACGCGGTGTTCCAGAAGTACTGGGAGTTGAAGGCGATGACGGGTCCTGACATACTGGTCATGTTCGTGAAAGAAATAATGAGAAGGACCACAGAAGAGTTTGAAAACAAAGGTTGGTTTTACTCAACAACTGACGTCAGAAAAAAATCTTACGACCGTGAAGAAATCAAGAAGATCGTCAGACGGGAAATAAATCTCGTCAGACAAGATGCAATCAATGCACTTTACAACTGTGCAGTCAGAGACAAGAAAAACGTTTTGACCAAAAAGGTGGTGCAAACACTCCAGGCCTACGTCAAAAAACCAAAAGAAGATTTTCCCGACTGCAAAAAATTCGTAGATTTTGTTTACAAGCTTTTTGAGATTGCTGATTCCCTTGATGACTTTGATTACCCAAAAACATTTGAAATTTACCTAAGTAAATTGCGCTTCGAGTCTCAGGAAAATGTTGATGTTATTTTGAGATTCATGCACAATCAAGTTAGAGACAAACGAAGAAGTAAAGAATTGTTCACTGACAATGTAATGGAAACACTGCTAGCATTTGCAGACGAAAATGAATTTCGTTCAGCCGAGAAAAAGCCAGAAGTTCTGGAAATGATCAGAACGTACCTGCAGCATGAACACAACCAAGCCTTGAGTGACAGGAACTTAGAAAAGTTGCTGGAATCCTGTTTCCAGTCAGGCGAAAACTCGTTGATAAATTCAGGGTTGGCAGTGCTGTTGCTGTCACTCGAGAAAAGCCATTCAATTGCTCAATGCAACTTGAGCATATTGATGAAAAATTTTGAAGTTATGAGTACCCATAATGAAGAATGCACCAGCTTCATTGTATTTATTCTAAGTAGGGTATTTTGCACCCAGGACGCATCCAACCAGAGTTTTCTCAAAGACCCTCGCCTCATCGAGTTAGTCTCAAGCAAGCTGTCTTGTAGCCATGTGGTAAATCTCGAACAGGACGATGAACTGGTCAAAATTGGCACACCGGATGCTGGAATGACTTTCCACAATCATGCTTACCAGATTGCATTCCTAGCAGCAAACATGATTTTGACATCGGTTGAACGAAAAGTTATTGTGAGCTCTGCAACCATAGACAATCTACTCCTGGTACTGGAGTCACTCAGTGAAGAAGCAACAAAGCAAACTCAAATCTTAGCTGCCAAAACCTTGTACAACCTCACTACATATGTGAAGTTCGATGTTGGGGTTTTGAATCAGTTGCTGAATTTGATCAACTGTCCCACTTATGATGCAAGTGTTTATATCCAAACTGCTTATGTGAAATCCTGCGTGAAAGTGGCTTTTACCCCTGCCCCAGAACTTCTCAATCCTATACATTTGGAACACTTGAGTGACCTCTACGTTCATGAAAGCCTGAAGCTGGGTCAAGAAGATTATGAAATGGAAATAAACACCAACCTGTTCAAGACGCTACTGTACGAGGGCAAAAAGCAGGAATTCAATGATGAAATTTTCCTGCTTTTTGACACTGTTCTCGAATTGAACCAGAAATATGCCTCTCAGGTCCTGGCCATTCTCAAGTGGTATTCTTTCAAATTCACTGTGCCTGAGGCTACTGTGAGAACAGTGGAGAAGCTTCTGGCAGTGCCTGGATACCATGAAGAGGCCCTTTTAATTGCCCAAAATGTTATCCTTAACGGAAAATCTAACGTTTCAAGCAAAACTTTAGCAATATTTATAGATCACCTGTTCGTGTCGTCTAACACCCACCTAAGAGTCAATTCCTTCAAGTTACTCGAAGAAGCTAGTAAAAACATGGACCTCCCTGAAGATCTTTTCTGGAAACATGAACTAGTTCGAGCAGGTTTTGCATTTGAGCTCGGTGCCGCAGACAAATCCACCTTGATTGATTTCATCCAATTTGCCATGGACAGAGGAATGAAGCTGCCAGTCGACACGCAACTGGCTTTGGAAAAAGAGATTACTGACACTAGGGTGTTGAGGATTTTTTCTTCGGCCTCAAGAAATAAGCAAATTGTTCCACAACAGCTTCTGCAGGTCCTGATCAAATTATTTGAGAAAGATCCAAAAACTACTGTCGACGTGGAAAAGGACATCCTAGTTGTGTCTATTTTTGAGAATGCAGTGAAAAGCAATCTCACTTTGCCTCAGGATCTGCTGGTAAAATTGCAAGAAGCACTGAAATACGAAACTTTGGAGCCATGTATCCTTAAGGTATTCATATATCTGGCCCAGAAAGGCGACAAGCTATCACCAGAAACGAACAACAAACTGCTTGACAAGCTTTTAACCGAGCAGAACCCAGTTTTGAAACAAGAACTGCTCAGCTGTTTAGGATCACTCATTGATGCCAATCGAACTGACATCATTCCCTACTTGCAGAAAGTGAACCAAATCCTGATACAGCAAATTTCTTCTGACAACATCAATATTCAGAAATTGTGCATTAGCGCTATCCATAAACTGGTTATTGTCTGTGAACGAATTGATGAAGTTCTACTTGAGAAACTGGTGGACATAGGCGTAGCTCCCTCATGTCACTCAAGTGTGAAGAATGAAATCAACCTGCTATTTGGGTGCATTAAGGATGAGCATAACCCGGTCATCCATCAAAAACAGTACAGGAAAAAAGTTAATCTGGCAAACTTGCAATGCAGCTCGCCAAAAGAGTTGATGAGTCAGTTGAAAGACTATATATGCATGTCAGATGGCTTGCTCAATCAGAATTTTCTTCAACTCAAATGCATTATTGACAATGAAAACGTCCAGCTGCAGGAGGAAGCTCTGTCTCTTTTACATTTGTTCGAGAGTAAAGATAAATTTGCGGATGAATTGTTGGAGAGCGTTGCCATTCTAGCTGACAGCACGGTGTGTGAGACATTGAGAAAATCATGTCTGCAACTCCTAAATAAGGTAGTTGAAAGTGGTAAGACGTTGAGCGGTAGAGCTTTGCATATGTGGGACACTATGCAGAATCATGATGCAAATGTGCAGATTTTCCTCCAAGGTTCCCTGTGCACGGAGCTTAAGATGGAGTTTGAGTTAACAGATGAAACTTTGAAAGCCTTGCATTCGTTGGTCACAGAAAGTGCAGGTGGCTGCAAAATAAATGGCACGGCAGAGTTTCTCAATTTAATCGTCGGTGGAAAATCTGATTATGTTATGAACCAGTCCTTTGTTTTGCTCGTTGAGCAATGCTTGCTTAAGAAAAAATATTTGGAAGTAACTTTACCTTGTTTCTGCAGAATCATCAAAGAAAGAAAGTGCACTAAAGTGGTAGAGTGTGTGCAAGCATTGGTCCAACACTTCTGTGAGGATGAGGAAGATCTGCCTCATCTGCACTCTCGTCTCTTCGAGGCCATGTATCATGCTCAAAAATTTCAACAACTTCCAGATATTTGTTTGGAAGTAGCTATGGAGAATCTAGAGTGCCTCGATGGAACAATTAGAGGTTATTCATTTGGAATCTTGAGGTGCTCAAAAGAGGAAAAGTGCAAACAAATTGTGAATGAATGGTGTGATTCTATGCTGGTCAGTCTAGCTGAAATCCTGAAAGTGGAAATAAAGAAAACTGGAGACTTCCTGGACTTGATGGAGATCATGATGTCATTAAAGATTTTCGATGTAGGAGTTTTGCTTAATGCCAAAAGGGAAATGTGGATAAGAGAGCTTTTGACTTCAAGCATTTTGCTAAATTTCAATGTCCTCCAGATGGAGCAGTTGGAGTTTTACACAAGATGGCACGAAATTGAAGAAAAATTCACGTATCACAAATCGTGCAAAATCCTTGAAATTATGCAAAAATGCGACTTTGATAATTTTTCACAATTACTTGAGCTGATTTCTATCATCCCAGACATGAACTTTGATGATGTTTTCTATCTGCTGAATATTCATAGCCCAGAACCCTCTCCTGCCCTGAAACATCATTGGTGCATCATTAAAATCAACGCACACTGCTCACAAAGAGGTGGCATTACTGATAAGTATGCCAAGGAAATTGCAGGAAAACTGTGTTCCAGATTTAACACACCTCTCCTCAATGAACTCTTTTCCTGCCTCCAGTCCATTGACAATCTGGCAGCATTTGAGGATCTCGCGAACTTTTGTTCAGAAAAGAAAATTGTTTCTAGTGACATTGAGGGTGTGAAGTGTGTTCATGTCAGGGACTTGATGCACCATGTGCAGGTCAAACACTTGATGAAATGTACCTCATGTCAGCCAAAGAGTGACACTGATAAAAACAAATTCTTGGAGACGGTGCGCGCTCTTGACGCTGCTGGGTGGAATTTTAACCAGCTGTGTCAATTAGTGGAAGCATTCAACCCTCCAGTGCCGTTCAATAATTTCTCTAACTTGTTGAACATGATGAGCACCATTCAAGCTTACAGCTTGTTCTCATTACCTTGCATAAAAAAGTGCATACAAATCACGACAGAAACCCAAGTATTCCAAGAGATCCTACAAAAAATTCACCAACTTGCAATTGAGAATCACTTCCAGATGGAGGGCAAAGTGAAAGATCTTAATGAACTTCTGGCTGAGTTCAAAGACAAGAACATGTCTGAGCCGGCCCTTGAAAAACTCAAGGAAGGAAATTCACTTAACATCCAGCAGTGTATATTCCAGGAACAGTCAGAAAAGTTTAATTGGAATGAGAAGCAGATTTATCTATGGGCGAAGGGTATCAAGTCTGGCAAGATTAAGGAATTCTCCGACCATGAGGCAATTGCAGTCATTCTCAGAGCCAACTTCCTCATTACGGGATACGAACTCACCAACACCCAGATATTGTGTAGTTTAGTCGCTCTAAAAAACTCTGAAAGTATGAAAGGAAAGCTACTGGAAGTGGCAACTGGCGAGGGCAAATCCACAATCATTTCCATCTTAGCCATTATTAATGCATTGAGAGGCAATAGCGTAGACATCCTCACTAGCTCACCAGTTTTAGCCGAAAGGGATGCGAAGCAGCAAGCTAAGTTGTACAGGTTATTTGGCCTCTCTTGCTCTGACAATAATGACAAAATTATCTATTTGAAAGGAGGAAAAGATTGTTATCTTTCCGACATTGTTTATGGAGAAATGTCACAGTTCCAATTTGACATACTCAGGGACAATTACAGTAAGTTGGGCACTTTGTGTGGCAGGAAATTCAGTGTGGCCATTGTGGATGAGGTGGACAGCATGTTGATAGACGACAGTTCAAAGATAGCTCGCCTTTCCTCGACTGTTCCTGGGATGGACCATTTTCATGCCCTCTATGTCTTCATTTGGCAGCGCCTGGTTTCAATCAGGAACAAGTTCATCATGTGCAACGGAAAGTTGTATTTTGTTTATGGAACTGTTAACTTTGAAAATGGAAACATCACTTCGGAGTATGCTGATGAGAAAGGCAATGTCATGAAAATCACTGACTTGGAAGCTCTTTTTGCGCAATTAGGAGATCTGAGTCCTATTGGTGAGGTTGTTGAAGATGTGGACGAGTTCCTTAGAAAGTTATTAATTCGTTATCTTGATGACCAGATGCAGCAAAATAGAATCTATATACCAAGTAATTTCGCAGATTTTGTGCAAAAACAAAAGTCCAAGTGGATTACAAATGCCGTGGAGGCCCTTAACTATCAGGAAAATGTCCACTATGTTGTCCAAAACGGAGAAATCAAGCCTGTGGACTATCACAGCACAGGCATTGTTCAGAGCTCCACCAACTGGAGTGATGGGCTGCATCAGTTCCTTCAACTGAAGCACAATCTGAAAATGACAAGTGAAACACTCACCACCAACTTTCTTTCTAACGTGGGACTAATGAAAAAATATGAACACGTTTGTGGACTGACTGGAACACTCGGGTCAGATACTGCCAGAGGAGTGCTCAGAAGTGTCTACAAAGTAGACCTCTTCAACATACCACAGAAGCGCAAGAAACAGTTCCTGCAACTTGACTCCATTGTAGCGATGAATGAAGATAGTTGGCTGGAAGAAATTATGTCAAACATTGTGCTGGAGACTCAAAAAGACAGAGGAATTTTGGTCGTTTGTGAGACAATTGAAAATGCCAGCCAGATCAGTGATATGCTGAATAAGAAACTGCCACCAACCTCTGTCAAGCTATACACTATGAATGACACAAATCAGGAGAAAAATGTTGAGCGAATTTTGCCAGGGCAAGTCATTATTGCCACAAACTTAGCTGGCAGAGGCACAGACATAAAAACGGATGAAATAGAAGCAACTGGTGGGTTGCACGTCATTTTGACGTTCATGCCACCCAACCAGAGGGTTGAAGATCAAGCTTTTGGCAGGACTGCCCGGCAGGGCAAGCGTGGCACTGGTGTCATGATCCTCAATGCTCGTAACATGGACGGTTATTCCACCACCACAACCGCAGTGTCAACAGGAACTATGAAAGCTCAGAGAGATGAAATAGAGAAACAGCAGCTCCAGATTTTCCGAGACCAAGAACTGGAACTCATCCAAGTGAAAGACAAGCTTTTTGACACATTTTGCTCGTTCTTGAATGATGAAATTAGAGTTAAGATTAGAAAAAAGACTCAAACTAAAATAAAAAAATTGCTGAATTGGTTCACTGACATTGAGCCAACTGTGTATGAGTGTTGCGTGTTGTCAGCTGTTGAAGAACAATGGGCAGGCTTTCTGGGCAAACTGGATGATAGAGTCATAAAATGTGAAGAAGCAGCAGAAAAATGCAGCGCTTTGATTGATCAGCTGCGAAATGACTTCAAAAATGAGCAACTAATTAAAAACCCGTACTACTTCATAACTATTGCAAATGACATGCTTGTGAACACTTGGGGGTCTACCACGTCAAACACGAAAGATGCCCTTGGTTATTTCCAGAAAGCTGTGGAACTGGAACAAAAGTGGCAGCAAAAAAAGCATGATGAAAAGCCCAAAAAGTCAGATGGCAAAGATAGTGATTCGGAGGGGTCGAAATCTGATCCAGCTACTGACAAGAACGAAGATATTTACACACCAGGAGCCGCACATGTGGGCATAGCCTGGTGCATGCTTCGCTTGAAAGAGGAAGGATACAAAGATAAGGCTTTAGCTTCATTCAAAGTTGCACTTAAGTGCCTTGCAGGTGAGATGAGCACGCTTAATGCCGCCCAATTGCTACTAAACAATCTGGAGCATAAACAGTCTGAATTTGAAAACAGCCCGCTGTGTAAGCAGTTAAACACGAAAACAACGATACTTGGTTCATACCTGAATGGAATCAATGCTTCTATAAATGCACTGAAGAGATCGAAGCGAATGCTGGACCTTGTAGCAGTCAAGCGTCATGAAGTCACTTCTGGAGAGCCATGCATTTTAGAAACACTTACCTACTACACTGAACTAGAAAGGAACGATGAAGACAAGCACAAATTCACTAATGAAAACCTGAAACTGAATGATGAAGAAATTTACTCACTCACTTTCAATCACTTGACATGCAGACAAGATTCAGGAACAATTGATCAAGCTTGGATCACAATCGATAATGCATTCGATGAAAAGCTCCTGGCCAAAGAAACTCAGACGCTCTCCAAGTTAAAAGCTTTGAGTACAGCTGTTAAGTCCAAGTTTTCATCCGATGAATATAGCAGCCTGGCCCAGGGATCATGCAACATCAAAATAAATCTGAATCAGGTTGACCTCTCCACTGTCAGCAGTGTTTTGTTTAACCCAGACCAAGAGTTTAAGGATTTGACGTATGAAACTACACTAATGAAGCTCAAAGAAAAGCAATCTTGCTTACACTATTGTAGGCTGACTAACTCGCCCAAGGCCGATCTTTTAATTCACTCCAATGATGACATAAATCTCAAAGAGCAATTCAATGACAAACAAATTAACGAACTGCTTGAAATTGTCAAACAAAAGCGGAACAATCCATCCCTGCGGTTCGACATTGTGTTCAGGAAAGCTAACGAAAACCCACTTAATAGTCTCTTCAAATCAGACAATAAATCCTGCAGTTCTTCAGTCGTCCTGCATGTTGAATTCCAAGATCTAAGTCAGGAAGCAGCGCAAGCTAAGCTTCAATCCGTTCAGGCCAGGTCAGTCCATGTTGGAGTTGTTCTCAACAAGCTGGATTTGAAAAAACTGATTGAACTCAACAAGTCACTGAGCAGTGGAAAATTGTTGCTCAACCAAAGTCAAGTGCATGAAAAGCTCAACATGCAGCAGTTGTTGGTTCAGGTGGAGAAGCTCAAAACAGACCACTCATTTTGCTACGCTAGATTTGAAGACCTTACACTTGACCAAGCGAAAAGTATTGTGAAGAACTGCAATGAAAATGCAAAATTTGTCCTGTCTTTTTGTGACATCTCTGATTTCTATGCCAGTGAGCTCAATGAAGGACAAGTTAATTTTAGTTTCGATGGATTGAGCCAAGATAGCGCAAAAATAGTTGTTCGAGTGCTTAGAAACGCACATTTAGAGTTTTCATTGGAATTCAAGAATTTGTCTGACAAGGAAGTGAGATTCATCTTGCAGCATGCAAATTTGGAACAAGAAGCCGTAGAAATTAGCAAAGTTAAAAATGTGTGCGATTTATTCATGAAGAGTTCTTCACCCACTTTTGAGCTTAATCAGTTTGTCTGCAGAGGTCTCGAGCACATTATTGAGATAAATGAGAAGTTATTCGTTCCGTGGTGGAGTGTAACCGCTGTGGCTGCATTGGGCGTTGGCCAAGTGTTAATTGGAGGAGTGTTGATGGCCACAGGATTTGGGTCCTCACTCGGCATGGGACTTGTGACGGAGGGTGTTGCTGATGTGTTCATAGCATTCAGGGCATTCAAGACAAGACAGTTTCAATGGAGCGATTATTGCAAACAGAAAGCTGTGAGTCTGGCCATATCTGCTGCTACCATGGGATACTCCAAATGGAAAGAGGGTGTGCAAAATGCAGCGAAGGGAGTTGAGACCCTTGCTACTGGAATGGCTCAAGAAATGGCGGAACAAGTGGGCACACAGATTATTTCAAACAGTAAGGTTCTTGGTCAGGTTGTTTTGAGCACCGGCAAGAATATGAAAAGTTTGGCATTTAAAGTTGTATGCACCAAGGCTGCAGAGGCAGTAGCAAGAGAGGGCATGAACACTGCCATTCAAAACCTGTCCAACTTTTCATTTGGTCTTCTCAAGCCTAAAATTTCCGAGTCAGTGCAGGAAAGAGTGCGAATGGCATTCTGCCACACTGAACTCATGAGACTTTTGCGAAAGTTTTATGCAATTGATTTGGCCAGTGGTTCTCACCAACTCCAGTCCAAGGTTGAAAGCATTGTGGCGGAAACTGTCAATCCTCAACGGGACTTCATGCAAAGACAATTCGATTCAATATGTTTGCCATTAATCAAAGGGGTTTTGTCTGATGCGAACAGATTTGGAAGCCATGCCAGCCTTGTTATTCGCATGATATCCACACTCAATGGTCTGCACCAGGTTACAACACTGGCCGATACAGTGGTAAAAGCAATCCTGCAGAAGCTTGGATCGTATGACAAGAATTCTATGACAATGAGCCTTATTCTGCACAAGAGCCAAAAGGTACCGAAATTAACTGCCATAGTCTTAGCTAAAAAATTCAAAGAGCTTGAAATCTTTGATGAAAATGATGGCATCGGCATATTAGACAGTGATGCGAGTGAGAGTTGCGGAGAGGTAAGGGCAAAAATTGACGCTTTGCAGAGTGCTTGGAAAACCACTCCTAAACAGATGTTGGATGAATTGTCGGGACACCTTACTGACAGCTCCTCCTTGGAAGCAGATGTAACAAAAAGCATAGTTTTCATTGACCACTTCTATCATAAATTTGTGAGCATTGACTTGGACTCCTTCAACACAATTATCAAGTCCGTTTCAGATCAGATCTCGCAACAGTTGGTGAAGGTGATGGACTCGCAGCTTTTACAACCGTGGTCAACCTTGGCTGTTAGTGGCTTGACTGATGCCATTTCAAAGCGTCTGCAGCATCATATTTTCGTGGATGAGCGTGAAAATTCTGACAGTCAGAAGGCTGACGAAAGCAAGTACCAAGAACTATTAAAAAAACAAAGTTTGACTGCAGAAGAAAAAGCTTTCATGGGCAAGTATGGCCAATTCAGAACGTTCGCCCAGCAACTTGACTACAACGCCAAGGATTTCTGCACTGCCTACAGTCAGTGTGAAATATACTATCATGCGAGCAGAGATGGTGCCTCATCAACCCCACCAGATCCGAATGTTCAACAAATGGCAAATTCTGTCAGAGGAGGAGAACCAGCCAATCTTGCTGTAATGGCAGCTCTAGCTAAAAACAACGGGATCAAATTGAAAGTTGTAGATGATCCAAACTATGTTAGATCTCAAGAGGACATTGAAAATGGCGTTGAAGTAATGTATGTGAAAGAGGACCCTGGAAGCGGAGTTGGTCATGCCTTCTACATGGACAGTGATGGGCAGATCAAAGATGTGAAATCAGAAGGCTATGATTGTGCGTTTGCCGCCTTCAGCAAAATTCTTGAAGGCAAAGGCATTGAGAAATCTGTGTCTGATCTCAGAGCTGAAATTGCCAATAGCATGGAGTCTAACTCAGCCAGCTTTACAAAGGCTTTAGCTGCTGAAACTTGGATTAGGAAAAATAACCCTGAAGCTGCCAAAAATTTATTCGTTGCTGGTCTATATAAAGACAGTACTACAGGAAGACTGAAACTGGAAGATGGTGATGTCGAAAAAATGATTACAGCCATGAAGAACCCAAAAATTAAAAGTGATAGCAAAGCAGGAGGCTATTTCAAGGTAAACATGTGAGAATTATCGATAAGTTATTTAGAATAGAGGTTTTCTGGTAAGATACTCGGATGCCTTCTATTGCATTTATTGTTTATTTTAATAGTTATTCTGTTCGGAGTTTCTCATCTCAAATGGTTTCAAGCTAGCTTTGGAAGCTGAGAGAGGTTAGAACTCAGAGTTGATAACAAAAAATTGCTGAAATTAATGTAAAGTTGGCTTTGGTGTATGGACAAGTACTTGAGAATGGTAACTAAGGTCAAAATTAAAATGAAGTAAAACAAAACAAGCTTAAGTAATAACAAAAGTAAAACCATTTGTAAAATTATTAAATTAGTCTTATTCTATTGAACCTAAAACTACGTGTTCCTGACCATTACTTATGTTTCCAGAGAATGGTAAGAAAACGACCGGGAGACGAAACAAAAGAAGATCGGGGAGACGAAACAGAAGAAACCTTACATCACATCCTTCCGCGAGCTGAAATCACGGAGGCCGTCATTGAGAGTCAGGCGCGTAATCCAACCCAATTCAGAAAAGATTTCGAAGAATACATTAATTTGCCAAAAATCAAACGAGTCTTTGAAGAACATTTGCTTGTCAATACAAACGTTAACGCAGACGTTGACGTTCCCTTGAAAACACCTCAATTTACTGGCACTATTCTATATAATTCAGTAAGCTGGTATTCAAACAATTTAGTGTACGGCCCAGCGCCTGAAAAGCGGAAAAATGACCCGAAAAATAGCCTTGACACAGAAATTCTTGAAGTGCAAACTGATGCGTATCAGAATGCCTCCTTGACGGCATGGGACGCTATCAAACCGGACAACGACAAACGAGACTTTGGACAGTACCTAGAAGCTGTAAAAGATTTGACCCCGCCAGATGCAAGATGGAAGAAGGATCAAGATGGCAAATATGTTGCAATGCCTGCAAATACTACTGCAAATACTACTGCGAATACAATGTGAAATATAATGCAAGAGCTGTGAATACTGATTTATGATAAGTGCGCATATATAGTTGTTGCTGATATGAATGTCGATACACAGTAATTTGGAGACAGCAGCACCACGCAACCCTCGTCCTGCCTGACGTCAGTCACCCTGCCTGACATCTGTCGTCCTTTGATGCCTTGTCTGACGTCTGTCGTCCTGTCTGACGTCTGTCGCCCTGCCTGACGTCTGTCGCCATGCCTGACGTCTGTCGCCCTGCCTAACGTCTGTCGCCCTGCCTGACGTCTGTCGCCCTGCCTGACGTCTGTCGCCCTGCCTGACGTCTGTCGCCCTTCCTGACGTCTGTCGCCCTGCCTGACGTCTGTCGCCCTGCCTGACGTCTGTCGTTCTTGTCTGACGTCTGTCGCCCTCGCCTGGCGTCTGTCGTCTGTCGCCCTGCCTGACGCCTGTCGTCCTTGTCTGACGTCTGTCGTCCTGCCTGACGTCTGTCGCCCTCGCCTGACGTCTGTCGTCTTTGTCTGACGTCTGTCGTCTTTGTCTGACGTCTGTCGTCCTTGTCTGACGTCTGTCGTCCTTGTCTGACGTCTGTCGTCCTTGTCTGACGTCTGTCGTCCTGCCTGACGTCTGTCGTCCTGCCTGACGTCTGTCGCCCTGCCTGACGTCTGTCGCCCTGCCTGACGTCTGTCGCCCTGCCTGACGTCTGTCGCCCTGCCTGACGTCTGTCGCCCTGCCTGACGTCTGTCGCCCTGCCTGACGTCTGTCGCCCTGCCTGATGTCTGTCGCCTTCGCCTGACGTCTGTCGCATCACAATCGTCAACGGTTGGGAGGGTGCGTGGTCAGCTCTCTCCAACCAGAACCTAGTCTCCAGGTTCAAGCCTACCAACGTTGTTTTGTGTTGTGGCCCGTACTGACGTAGAACATGTGGCCCGTGATAATCTGACCTCAGAGTGTCTACACGCGCAAAAACGGGGTTCAATACCACTGGCAAACTGGTTTAAAAAAAAACGGATTAAATTTCGGTTTTTCATTAATTTATATTGATTTATTCATTATGGTCATTTGCATGTCATTTTGCGCTCAATTGCAATTTTCATCACACGACTGCCGTAATGCTAGGAACGTTAGCGATATTTCGTTGACGGATTTATGCCAGGATCGTTTATCATTTAAAGCAGGTTTATATGTTCTTATCATTTATTGATGCATTGACATCTCATAGCATAATGATATTGGCGTTGAATGATTGTTGTCGATTCTTGCAAGGTTCTTGTCTGCAGAAAATCTGAAACTGCTTTTTGAATAGGTCTGTCCAGAACGGACGTTGAAGCTTAGTAGCCACTGAACTTTAACCAGTCAGTGAGTTGGTGGTGAACTTTAATCTGTCTCCAGATGTTGCTGTACTGATACCTCAGGTATGTACGAAAATTAATGCACTCGAAATTAATAAAAATGAAGGCGGTTATCAGGGAACAACTTCCACCATTCACAAAGTGAAGTTCAACCCATATCAATTGAGGGTAAGGGCAGTGATGACTTCACTCGTAGTTCGTAGGGTAAGGGAGGCCTGAAACGGATCGGAATGTTTTCCGTTAAATTTGGTGGAAAAAATAGGTTCTCTTAATGAACGAACTGCTTTACAAACAGAGTTCCTGCACGAAATTAAATTCATAAGGCGGGGTTACACTTGTATTCGCTTAGTTTGGGTTCTCCAAATGCATGGCTATGCTAATCACCCGGACCAGCCCCCGAAATTTTCTCTACTTCGATTATTTGAAAAAGTGCCCACTCACCTAAGTTTTGGTCTTGAATGCATTTTTCGAAACGAGTGTATATTTTTTCCTGACGGACGACACCGAAGTTCCTAGCATAGATTCCTGTCGTGAATCGTTTGGTCCGCTGTTCTAGCAAATACTGAATAGTGACAATGTTTATGTAATTCTTTGCTTTGGTACGTTTAAAACGTTTCATGGCTTGTCGTTTCTTTCCTTGATGCTATCGTATTGTTTTGCCTCGAATTGAGTTCCGTAATAAATGATCATCGTTGCACTTCGTAAATATTAAACGTGTGTTCTTATTTCTGTTTTCTGTAAACGTGTGCTGTTATTTCTGTTGTTCTGTTGATTATATCACACCAATTTATTGTGGGTTTGTTTCTTTCCAATTACATTTCCATATTTCCAAATTGAATGTACTATACGAGTACATTCAAGTTCGTGTAGCCCTCATCTAAGGCTTTTAAGCAATTATATTCAATTTTTGTCTTCACCTTCACTAGAACAAGCTAAAATGATTTTTATTTAGGTGATCTAAATTTTGCGCTAATTTTGGTTTCTCTTTCAACGCACACAAAATGTTAAATCTCAATTCAACGAAATATTCGAGAAAAAACAATAGTTGAAGCCAGTACTTATTGCATGCACGTTGGGTAACTATGATACGAGTACATAACTAATACGTTGAACATGAATCCCGACTTAGAACGGCGCAGAAATTGGCTAAGAACAAAAGATTTCTTTATTGAATATTATTATTATTGAAGAAACTAAGATAATATTATTATTGAAGATACTAAGAACAAAGCATTGCTATTATGGCCTCGCCGTAGTTGTAATGAGATAGCATTCGGATGGCAATGAGAGTTGGATTTGCGCACTCGTGCATAAGGACAAAATGTTCATAAGTCTGTTCATTTAGGTTTCTTTAAATAGGAAATATTGTGGTGTCTAGATATAATCTACTATATTAATCTATAAGATATTCATGCTCATCACATTTACTGTTGGACTTGTATTGTAATGTTAGTTGCTTTCTTGTACGGAGATAAGATTGCCCTATCCGGAGATAAAACGGATAATAATATTGCCTATAAGGCAATATTATCTCATTATAATAGATTAGAATAAGGTGAAATCTTAAAATATCTTAGAATCTTATTAGAATAGATATCATATAAGATTTAATAGATATCTAAGATAAGATAAGGCAATCTATATAGCTTATGTTGCCTCAAGATAATAAGATTGCCCTAACCGGAGATAAGAAGTTTTAAGGAGATAAGATTGTCCCTATTCTTTAATAAAATTGAACGCTTTCAATACGTATGTTCATTATGGTTGCCTTTGGTTGGGAAATTATGATGTATTTTCAATATATGTAAACTGTGTGTAATGAGGATTAGACGTGACTATTAGAATTGAATAGAAGTGTCTGCACTGAATTAATAGGCCCATTGCACTGAAGAAATAGGCCCATGGTCACCTGGCTTTCCAAACGAACTTATTTCGCTCAAACTTTAAAATTAATAATGCTGTCTTATTCGCTTCTTTTTTCAAACGAACTTTACCTACACAAATTTTCATGCAGTATAACAAAAAATTTTTCACTAAATATCAATGAATATTTTGAATTTGCCTGGATTTTTTTGTAAATTCGTCCTTTAAATTTCGCACTTATGCCGAATAATTAATTAGTTGTTTGAAAAGTGCATAATGCAAACCTGAGTTTTCGCGTATGTCTTCTATTTGCGACATACGTGTTTTCAAGCTGATCTTTCAGAGCCTGAACTAAGTCAAATTGTTTTTGTACGTGATAACTTGATCACTGTTTCGATAGGTCGTTGAATTTTTACCTGCTTACTTCCTCTTGAAACTATTTTTCTCGAATTTTTGAAAATATGCATGTTGATTATGCACCTAGAAGGATTTTACTTTCGTTGTCACGCCATCGGTAGCCTTCACCATCTTTTGAGGGTAATTTTCGATAGCATCCTGATTTAATTCACGTTCAGTTCAGGGAAAAAAGAAAATTATTCCTATAATTACGCCCTAGGTCACGCTTAGCAAGGATTAGGAGCCTGAAATTAAATGAAAAATTCACGATGAAAAGAACATTAATCCACTAATTGCCTCTCAGGTTGCGCTTAGCAAGGATTAGGAGCCTGAAATGAAAAATTCACGATGAAATTTACATTAATCCACAATTACCCCTCAAGAAGGGACTTCTGAAGTCCTATGGGAAGTCGCGTTCCCAGGGAAAGGTTCCTGAGCGTCCCAGTGTTGAACTCGTGGTATCTTGTATACGACCTTTCCTGAAAAATAATAAAAGTAATAAAATAAATGACTTTGATAAATGATAACAAAAATGTTTTATTATCATTTGATAAATGCTAATAAAAAATGACTTTGTACTAATAAAGACACACTATTTGATCTTGTATGGGTTACCCTGACAAGTTAGACCTGGGCGTACTATTAGCACAAATTAGATCATTCATTTTTCTGAATGTACTATGAATTATTTGTTACAAGTTTGATTTCAGAAGCAACAAATATAAATACTTTGAACGTTAAACTTGCCGTAGGCTTCCTTAAGGGGAGCGTCTGGATAAAAAGGAAGGAATTGCGTTTTTTTGTGTTATAATTTCATTTTGTAGGGAGAATTATAACGAAGCTGCTGCAACAAACCGCGATGAGGTAGCTTCCATGGTTCTTTGGTGAGGCCGTTTTAAACTTTTATAAAATTGACATTTTATAACTATTGTTTACAGATATTTTCTTAGTTAAATCCGGATATATAGATCATTATACGCGTTAATTGTCATGTGTTTGCACTCGTTTTAGAGCTACAAACAAGACGCGTACTATGTATAAAGCTATAGTACCAAGGATGTACATGCAAGACATTTTGCGTTAGGCCGTTTTGAATTTTTATAAAATGACCATTTTATAGAAATATAAATATATATATCAGAGAAATCACATTTATAGCCTATTATTTGCATTAAACTGAACACGAATAAGTCTAAAGACGTGCGATGGTATCAGTACAAGCAATTGGCAATGAGAAAGCTGGGGCTGCAGTATCAAGCAATTTTGCAGCATTTTCTTTTTATGTTAAGTTTTACTCATTTGGCTCCCCCGGAAAATTCAAATTTCCAAAATAAGCCATCCTAAAAATCTATCTCCTTCCATGATTTTCAAGCTACAACATTGAGAGACATACCATTCGATTTGTAAATAAAATATCTATCGATAATTCGGTCATTTTTTTATTTCGTTATATAGTTTGGATTATATATTTAGCATGGGGGAGAAAAATTGAAATCATCTAAAAATCCCCCCCCACCCACTCATCAAAAATAATAATAATTTGGAAAAAGTGGTAGGTCAATCGCTAGATATGGTTTTTAAAAATCAAATGATAAGTTTCTCGATGTTATAGCACGTTAATTGAATGCGATACATTTATACGATGGCCCCTTTTCTGCCGTTTTCTTTGAATTTCACGTTTTCTTTCATTATTTTCGAAAAATTTAAACGAACAAAAAAGTCTCAGATTTCTGTTTTACATATGTGTACCAAGTTTCAAAATGATCCGTCAGTAAATAAAAAAGTGACATAATTTTGATTACTAATAGCAATGTAGGCGCTATAAGCTCGAGTTCTGTGCGAATAAAAATTCACACAGAGATATTTCTTATTTATAATATATTTAATAAATATATTACTTTTTTTTCCTAGGACGTTACACGTTCTCCAATGCCAAAAATTTAAAAGCAAGGATTAAACCACAAATGTTCATATCTTTATGGAAAACGTTTCGGAGTCCAGCTCCATCGTCAGTTCGTAGAATCTATAATTTACATAGAAAGTCACAAATTAGTACAATTGAAAGCACAAAAAACACAATTAAAAACCTAAACTTACAAGTACCAGACTGGAGAATCGTAACGCTTAATTAATATATTCGTAAAGCTTATCTGGAGAATCGTAACGCTTAATTAATATATTCGTAAAGCTTATCTGGAGAATAACTTCAAATAGATAATCTCCAATTACCCAGTAATTGATAATCTTCTATTGAAGTATAGCATGGGTACGGATGTTTGAACGTAAGTTTCAGCTTGACATGTAGACATTCACAACACAAAACATAAAAGTATTCTTGTAACGAACCTATTCGCAATTATATGTAATTCTGAAAATTGAAATTATTTTGAATGCGTAGTTACGTCTTTCGCCAGGCCGTATAGGGCAGTGCAGCCTTTTTAAGGAGGCTACTTGGGGTTAAAAGGTGAGAAATTTGTTCTTTTTAATATTCTTTTAACCTTTGGATATTTCACTATTGCCAGGTTGAGCTAGCACAATTTGTTCAAAGTTTAATAAAAGTTTTATTATAGTTGGTCATAATTTGAATGGTACGGAATCAGCCATTTAATGTATGGTTGAAATTTGCATATATAACATGACAAGCCAGCAAAATTCTATATATATTTTATCTGTTATCTTAACTAGGTGATTGGTTGTAAGCAAGAAGGCCAGAGTTTATTTCCATTAGTTGATCTAATGTTACCACTCATTTAAGTTTAATTAAATAATATCTAAAATAGCGTTGTTTAAGAGTTTTCACGTATCGGTCGGCAGGAATTCCCGTATTTAATACACAGTACAAATAATTTTATAGTCATAGGGACTTCGGACATCAAGCAATGATCTCCTTTTTAACCGCAATCACAGCATCTCACCACGTAGCACGGTTAACTTTGACACATGGCTTGACCATTGTTTTATCTACAGGAACCCACTGCGGAAAATGGCGACCCAGGAGCTGGCAAGTGAATAACGGCCTGAGTTACATTAAATTAGTAGTAAGGACAGAAACCAACAGGAATCTCTTATTATCCTCCTTGTATTCATTGGACATAGTAGAACTCAATTTAGAGCCTCAGGATTATAATAAACTTGACTAATAACTAACTTATGCTCTACCGACCAGAAACGGACATGGTAATATACGTAAGCTATATTATGCCAGTCTGAGGCTCAACATCTGTCCCCGCAGTTGTTTGAACAAACTATCAAACCTCTCTACCTTTAATTGTAGCCGTACAGAATTAACGTGGTACTGTGACCAGGATGTTACTGTTGTTGGTGGCTTGGTGCTGTCATCGTAGTGTTGTGAACAGTGAATTTGAACTGTTTGAAGTTAATAATGGCAGACCGCGTCATTAAGAAGAGAGGTCAAAGAGCCGAGGTAACGAAGCAAAACCTCCTCTTGGAAACACGAACAAAGTTTACAATATCGGCCAACTATGATGTAAGATGGTGAAAGATGAGGTAATATTCTCCATGTTTTGCTGAGGCGAACGTGTCATTCCCATTGTAAAACAAATTCCTGTAGTCTTTGAGCATACTGAAGAGGTTGCCCTGTCATCATCATCATCACTTCCACCGAAAATCTTAACAACTTGGTTATAAAACAGCTCCTGTTTCAAACCTTTCACAAATTTTTCGTCATCTCGATCAAAAATTGTCCAACTTTCGACCTAAATCTTTTTCAATTTCTTCGTAATTTGACAAATAAAAATCCGTCTTGCAGGAGATCGTCACAGTCAGAAGTTCCATGGTCTTCTGAAATGTAATTTTTCCCACCGTCTCCACTTTCTTGTTCGGATCAAAAGGTTCAAAATATTGCCGTCCTGAGAGTACAGGGAGTCGAACTTCTCTCTGGACTCAAAATAGCTTGAATGAATAATTCCCAGCGAAAACTCATAGTCCCCGTAACTGGATGCCTTCAGCTTCTGGGTGTGAACTCTGTCCCTTGACCAATCATCCAGCCCTTGGAGACATTTTATAACATCTTGATTTGGTCCATCCTTGTGTAAATAAACCTGGTCTGAGTGGTCAACCGCAAGAACAAGCGGTGCTTGCATCAAGGAGTAACTGCCGTATTCAAGCTTCTGCTGGACATCACTTCACTTTTAGTCTATAGTTTCCATAAGGTATGTATGACCATGAAAGCAAATTAGACTGCAACTGAATGAGTGTTAATTTTGTGAGTAATATAGAAAGCTATTTTATGATTAACAAGCCTGTATTTAGTTTGGACATAATTTATAAGGTTGCCTGTAAAAAATTACTTGCCATCTGAAGATAATTGCTAACACTTAAATTAACAAAAATTTGATCAAAGTCATTTACCTTAATTAAGTGACTGAAACCCAATCAAACAGCTGCTTAAAATTGGGTTATTGTTTACTTCTCATTCTCAATCGGAGAAAGTCAGGTGCGTTCGTCGTGAAAGCATGTGTGTGAACTGCGATCCCTAAGGTAACGTAACCGGTAAATTTTTGATTCATATTCTTATAAGTATTCATAACCTTTATTATTTGATTTGTTTCTGCTTTAACCCCACTGGCTTTCTCCCTCAGAGGTTTGCCAGTCCGCCTTGTTTTTTTTTCCTTTTTTTTTTTGTTTTGTTTGTCTACTCCATTTCTGTCAGGTATATTCGTCATCACAACTTCACAAGAAATCGTCCTCCGTCTTGATCATAGTCTTGCATGGGAGATACAGGCTGTCTTGCTGGGTCTGGGTTTGGTCCCCCAGCACCAGCAGCAGGCTCTGGCTCAGCAGCCTGCAGCCTCTCATAGCTACTGCTACTGTCAGTACTGTGGAGGTGGTGTCGGTGAGTTAGCTAGCTGACGCTGAGTGTGCTGCAGTGATCATTGATGGAGGAGCATATTGCTATTGATGGTGGTTTTGTTCTTGAGGACTCTGATCTAGATAGCAGCATTGAGGCCACTCCTGTTGCTGTTGCGGGTAGACGCAAGCACAGGGACCGTGAAACTGATGGATCAAGTGAGAGTATCTCTAGCAATAGAGCCAAGTGTGCAGCTGTGGCCGATACCCGCGAGGATAGTCAAATCCTTTCAAAGGTGCCTAATCAGACTAATCCTACCAATGCAAATGGAGCTTTGAAAGTGAAGCCATAGTGACAAAGCAGAGAGTTTTTTAGACTCTCCCTCAAGGCTCAAGGTGAGTGACGCCGTGAGTCAAGCATGGTGCAATTCTATAGGTTATTCAAAAGAACCTGGTCTTGTGTCATTTTGAACCGATCAATGCTTCTTTACGGACCGATTGTAAAACACACCTTCACCGGCAAAAGCTTTCACACTTCTGAAGAAAGGTGAGCTGACAGCTACACTGGCCGTGGGGTGTGGGTGGGCCTAATTTGAATTTGAATGCATGCATCGATTTGAAATCCTATAGACATAGTATACAAGTCATAGAGCCTAAATTTTTAATATCTATAAAAAATGTACATTTCTGCATGGATTATAATGCTGTTAACACTAACAAACTTTGAATCATCTCTGATGCAAGAAATACTTGCTTAAATCATTTTATTTTCAATATAAGCGACTGGATGCAACAATTGGTTTGCAAGAACCAACATAGCCCTGAAGTTCTGAACAGCAGTAATTTCGAATTTTTGATCGACGTTAATTTCTAAATTAAAATGTATTTAGACAGTATTTCTTGCATCAGAGATACTGTCAAGTATTTCAATGCTAACAGCATCAAAATCCACACAGAAACGTAAAATTTTAATAGGTTTTACACTGAAATTTATGCTCCTATTCCAAAGAACTGAGACCAATTTCAGATCAAAAACGACTAAATTAAATCCATCGCGCTTTCTGGCATCTTCTCTCACAGCTGATTGCAGTTACAGTGCATTTTTTTAGCTTAAGTTGCCAATACGTATTTAATGTAGACATAGTCTTCCGTTGGTACAAAACTTACAAAATAACCTTGAATTATTGATTGCTAATTTCTTGTATTACGTAAATGTTTATGATTCAAATTAATCATAGAAGATTAGAAGTTGCGTCTCCATAATTCCATGTTGAATTAAAATTGTTCATAGAAGGTTCACTTACTGATGCCAGCGCTAGCAGCGGCAGGCAAATGAACTACTTTATTATTTAGTATCTAGACTAATTATATAATAATATCGTATTCTGTTTAGGCACAGTCTCTTAAAGTGTTCCAGCAACATATTTTCCATTATTAATTATTTAAATATATTAACTTGTGATGCAGTAAGATATCAAATTGTTTGAATTCTAAACAAACATGGCGCATCCACATCCAGATCCTAGCGCCAGCAGTGGCCATTCAAGGAACTACTTTATTACTTGGTATTTTTACTATGATAATAATAATATATTATTCTGCTTAGGCACAGTCTCTCAAAATGTTGCAGCAACACATTTTCCAAAATAATAAATCAGACTTTATTTTTATATAGAGTTTCAACAGTTTGATATATTTATATCAATTTCAAAACTTTATGTATTTCTAAAGGGAGTTGTGATGAGACCATGGGAGTTGAACCGTTGAGTTTAGACCATTGCAACTTGCAACAGGGGCCCAAGGGCCAAGGGCATGGGGCCTTGCGAAGGGTTAAGACCGCGGACCGCCGCACGGCTGTGGACCAACATAAGTACCTCTCTTCATAGACTTCCACTATGCCCTCAAGTTAATTTTTGAATCCTATATCGCTATATGTCAGGATGGAATTCTAATTTCGAAGGTTCATATATTATTTTGATTCACCAAGTCCAAGACCACTTTTTCTATCCAACATCGTTATTTGAGGCAAAAAATGAACTTCTTAAAGGCTTAAAACACATATGCTAACTTGCTCAGTTTCTATGAGGTACCTAATCACTTGGAAGTTGCATGCCTGCACCTTTCACCCAATAATTAAAATTAGATTTATAAAAAGTATTAGTTGGTTGAAAATGTCTCTTAAGTTGACTGCAATGAACTCAACTTCATTAAGTAATTATAACTACGCTGCAAAGCAGAGTTTTCCATCATGCACACTAAACACGCAATTCAGAGTTCAGACAAGCAGAACTACATAACACGTGGGCTAACATGATGCGACTGAATTAAATACCTAGCTTCTTTCTCGCATCCCGCTCCCGGTGCATAATCTAGTGGGATGATCAATGCGGATGGTAACCGAGTCCAACTAATCATTCGTATACTTAGTGCAAGAGAATGAATAATTATATAGTCAAATGGGGTAAGACAGGATCACAGCCTTCATGGGGTAAGAAAGGACCAGCCCATATCATGCATTCTAATTGCACTGAATTTAATTTGATAGAAGAATATGTTAGAGCAATCATTGCATGTCATTTCAGTGCTTGTTTCAACCCTCTTCTGCAAATAATGAATTTCTGGCTAATTTTTAAAGAAAACTTATGTAAAGAAGGGTCACAAAATAGTTAACCCTGTTTGGGAAATAAGCTCT